AGGCTAGGCTGTCCTCAGGGGTGCCAGCCAGCCATATCCAGTCAACAGCAGCCCGCTACCTGCTGTCCCCCTAGGCTTTGGTAGTCTGGGCTGAGGGCTCAGCGGTACCCAGGGGCCCAGGCTGCCTGACTGAGCCATACTGAGCATTACTGAGCATTACTGAGCCAGACTGAGCCTGATTGAGCCTGATTGAGCCTGTCCGAGCCTTACTGAGCCATACTGAGCCTGACTGAGCCTGTCTGAGCCTGTCTGAACCATACTGAACCATACTGAGCCATACTGAGCCATACTGAGCCATACTGAGCCATACTGAGCCTTACATAACTGTTTGGGAAGATTTTCTGCTCTAGATCAAGATTTGCTCCCAACTTTGTTGAAAGCAAATATGCCTACAAGAGGCAGTGTGAATCTGTAAAAGATCATCATCATCAGCAGTTGAAAACCAGTGTCAGTTTTGCACTGGAGCAGAAGGCTTTAGCGGATGCCTTGAGTCTAGCTGCATTCTGATCTGTGTGCTCCGCTCTTCGGCTCTGCGCTGTGTCTCCCACGGGCAGCTGCTCGTCACACGGGCGGATCAGGGTGCTCTGTGTGACCATCCTCCGAGAGACACAGTGGAGCTCTGGCTGACACACAGGCAGGCCCACGAACAACATAACGACACACAAACAGATCCGCAGGTGTAGAGAGGCGAGTACAGCACAGGGCCCAGGACAGGGAGCGTCTGACATGGGACACTGGAGCACGCAGTCGGACACACAGCCCAGCCCCAAGATTCACACTCGCCCACAGAGACACACACAGACCCACCTCACAGCACAGTCAGTCTATTATCTGATGAAGTACGCAAATCAATGACAGCAATCAGGAGCAGAGGCTCAGACAGGCAGGCAGGGGTGCCGACGTACTCTCACCTTGTGGCCGGGCCTGTCCAGCAGTGCTCTCTTGCCCCCGATGGGGCAGTTGGAGATGTAGCAGGCTGTGCAGATGGACAGCAGACAGAGCAGACAGACAGACAGCGCAGGGCCAGACATAGCTGCTGTTTCGGGGGTGCTCAGAGGGGCTTGAGGGTCCTTCTCGCTGGACGGGCTGTCAGTGGTGTGCAGGCAGGAGCTCCTCGCCGTTTCAGCTTCGCTTGGCTCTCAGCGCCTTTTATACTGTACGGGCCCTCCGATGGCTGACACACCATTAACAGCCCTGAGTTAATGACATCGGTGGGAAAATAGTAATGTCTTATTAAGGTGGACCTCTGACCTGGGACATTCAGCGGCTCTCCGGCCGGGCCTGGTGGACGCGTGTCTGACAGCGAGAGCAGTCATTAGTGTGTCCAGGGCCGTGCCAGTGCATAATCTCTCCCAGCGGCCCCAGGTCAGAGGCTGATGGAGGCCTCTCTCATTAACATGCAGGCACAATTAGAACAGCCATCAAGACCCGCACATAATTAACACCCCCGTGAGTTACTGGACAGGGGCGGAGCAGAGGGAATGCTGGAAAGCTTTTGGACCTGCAGCAGAATATTCTTTGAATTTGCATATTTATGGTTTTCTAATTCTTGATAATGAGAGGAAACTTGGATCAATTTCATTCACTTGTGCGGATTTTTCTTGCAGATGGACATCGTCACCCATACAAACA